GCGACACACAACGCAGCGCGTGGAACAACGGGTACCAGCTCTGATACCAATGCAATCAGACTTGCTTTCATTCACACTTTACATGCATGCAAACAGTAGCGCAGCAAACTGGCGACATGCGCCCACTCAGTACTCAGAGATATGGCAACCCAGATACGAGTTCACTTCCAATGGCTATGGCGATATAGCGCACATACAACTCTCTGTTCGCATACAGTGGATCACCCTGGATATCCCACACGCATCTCTCTGAACACTCACTCACACACACACACACACTGAACACTAACTACAGCTATGGCGGCTATGGCCGCCTCTACCCTATCGCTATGGCTAAGCTTCGACTCTCTGCCCACTTCGTCTTCGGGCTCACTGCAGACCTCCTTGCACAAGTTGCTGTGGCAGCGCTTCCGCATGGCTCACGCAGGAATGAATGAATTGCTGGGCGCTGCCTCTTGATTTATACTTCTGCAGTGCGTTGGCCTGGCCCCTTTCCCAGGCCCGAAGTGCACACAGTCCCATGCGGTACTTGCTTGGCTGGACCAGGACTACCCAGGACAGGGACTGCTGACTCAGCACGGGCAGACTCCACCACTTGCCTTACCACTTGCCCACTTGCCTCAGCCTAGACGTAGGAAACTTCAAAAGGCCACTGTTCGGACCTTCCGGAAGGCCGTGGACTTGGCCTTTCGACACTAGCAGCTGCGACCTTCACCTCTCTGGACTGCAGCGGCTACGACCTGGACTCTTTGGGAAGACTACAGCTACGACTTCTAGACCTGACTAAGACTCCTACACGACAGGTCTACAGATCGAACTCCTGCGACCTCTGGACCCTACGACAGTCTACCACTGTTACAAATACAAAGGTCGTGGGTTCAACTCTAGGGGTCGACACAGGTATCGTACACAGGTAAGCTGGGGACTAGGGATTGAGCCCTGGGATCTTTATCAGCTACTGCGAACTGGTGAATACCGTTTCATCTTCACCCCTCCTTCCCTCCGCTGCTGCTACTCCCTCCTTCCTTCACCCACTTCGAACTACTAAACGCGTACGAATGAGACAGAATATGAGATGCAGGTGTGCTGAAATGCAAGCGGGTGTGTATGTGTCCCATCCAAATGCTGTGGGGCTTGCACCATTCAGAAAACAACAGTAAACGGCCATTTCATGGAGGCAAAACACTTCTCAAAACATTGCAGTCTTTTCTCTTTCTTTTTCTTTTTAAACGCATGTAAGCTATGCTACGGTCCCAAATGTCTGGCCCCTCCCTGGTGTCCGGGATGTCCGTCAGCGTATGCCTGATAGCCATCCGGGTGGATGGGTTTGTCTGGCCCGGCTGCAAAATGGTTACTCAGTAATACTCACTAATTAGTATATTACTTTTTTGGCCGTGCTAACCTTCTCTGTGTCATTCCAATTTTAACGAATTAATCACTCCTGAAGTTTATAAAGGGAAGGTTCTTCGATATCTAAATTAAATTATACTCCAGAAACAAGGCCAAAAAAAAAAAAAACATCTCATATTTCGAATTGAATAAATCGGGAAAAAGCGCACCAGTTCTGTGAGTGAATCATCAATTCAATCAAATTGAGTTCTATCTGTCATATGGTAATTGATCATGCTTGGTTCTCAAAAATGCCGCGCCGTCTTGTCACATTTATGATTTTTCAATTTTTCCCAGCCTTCTATGTGTGGGCCAACGGGAAAAGTACCCCAACTTCCGCGATTTTTTGCGCTCAGAAGGATGAATCAACAACTCTGGAGAGCTTGTAGATTGGGTCGTGGACTTTCCATGAAAAATATTTTTAAAAAAATAAAGCGGCATTTATTTCAGGGGTTATTTTTTTTTGACTTTTTAGTTTTTGATATTTTTCCTGGAAAGATCACAATCTAATCTACAGGATCTCAAATTTTCAGATTTTTTTTCTTCAATTCTTCTGACTGCAAAAATTGCCAAAGTTGGCGCTTGAAAATCCATGGACTGGACCTGCCTGTGCCTGCCGGTCGCAGACCCCCCTAAGAACCTGGTCCGTAAGGCCAGGAAAGCCGAATTTAGGCCGATGGGGGTAGTGGTGGTTTAAGATGTAAAAATATAAAAAGTAGAAAAAGCTAGGCTGGGCCGCCGCCCGGCCG